ACACCCACACCCTCAAGACTTTAGATTGTACAGCAAATATGAATAAATTAACAAAGAGAAACTTTTAAAATGATTCTTTGTTTTAAATTGATTGATTAGAATAAAAACTCAGGTTACTACAGGTCAAATAAATTCAAAAAAGATAGAAGTATAATTATTTTTTGTATGTGAAAAAATCTATTGAATATTTATACAAAAGTTTCATTCTAATCATTTATATTCCATCGAAAACTATATTATATAAGTTATCAACATTATTTGAGTATCATGCATATTTGAACATTTTTTTCTAAATTTTTCTTGATAATTATAGAAAAGTTTATGTCTAAATTATGAATATCAAAAGCAGACGGTTGATATATATTATTCCTTTCATTTCATTTGTCTTATAGCACAATCATCATATGCATATATTTTTCTTGAATTTGATACTATCATTATAATCAAATTCATTGAAAAGAGTAGTATATTCTTGATAAAGAAAATCATAATTTCAAACATATGACTAAAAACAAAAAAGAATATTTAAAATCTAAAGATACAAAGGTATAGATAGTCATATCTGTATGAATAAATTGTAGAGAAGTATTTATACAATAGTTTTATTGAATAAACAAACAATGAAATTCTATGTTATCATAGTTAATGCTGCATCAACATTAAATTCAGAATCTCCTATTAAAAAACTTAAAGCTTTATCAAGTAGCTTTTCTGATAACGGTTTATCAGCAACTGCTTCTTTTAATTCTTGAATTTCTTTAAGATTCAATATCTATACTAATTTGCTTTTTTGTGTTCCATGTGGATCAAATATCATGTATCCTATGTGCGTTAAATTCCTGCATTTTCCCCATTCAATGGCTATATACCAAGGTCGAACATTCAAACCATCTGAAACGGCATAATTCCTACCGTAAACTGTCGTTTACCGTCGCATTTCCGTGACATCCTTGCACTAGCCCTCACCCCTTCCTTCTCTTCACTGCAATCTACTTAAATAAATACTTACTTTTTTCGTATTGGAATAACTTAAAATAAAGAATTAAATTCATTTGAAATAAACAGATGATACTTACTGCTCATTCGCAGGTGAACAATTAAAATTAAAATAGAACAATACATTTTCTTTTGTATGTACGAGGAAAACATTTAATGATAAAAAGGAGAATATTCCATACCATTTTTAACATTTTATTGAGGCGTTTCGTTATGTACACATTATATCTTCAGTCAAAATATAAATAAACGAACGTATAAGACGAAAGAACGTATATATAAACAACAAAAAAAAGCAATCTAAAAAGATTATATAATCAATGAATCGTTCAAACTAAATCTAGTAGATATACTGATTGTGTCATGTGTGAGAAAAGAATTATATTATTCTGTCACTTCGTCTGGCGCCATTTGTTTCTTTTTCTCCTGCGTGTACTGTGTAAAGAAATAAAAAGGAAAGATGAAAAAAGAATGTTCTGTGCAGGAATCGAACCTGCGTCTTCTGCGTGTAGAAAAGTTGTACTACCATTGTACTAACAGAACTTGACTTCAGTCATTTGAACATTAGGCTTCGGTATGCTGTGGCTAATAATTGATCAGTTATAAAAACTTTATATAAGACAACTCCAGAGTAGTTTTATTACAAAAATTGCATGATAAAAACAAGTTTGGCATTTCAACTATGTGTTTGCTAGAAGAAAATAAAACTCTAAGACTGTTCTTTGTTCTCACCTACACTCTTCGTCAAGTTGATTACAGGGCTAGTGTGAGTCCATCGAAATTTTTCAGCGAGCGAGCCAAAAAGATGGTTTCTGCAAGTGGAGTATCATAGTATGCTTCTGTTTCTACAAATCCAACCTTCTTGTACAATCCAATGGCTGCTTCCATGCTTGGCAAAGTATCTAATTTGATCTCGTCATATCCCAAAGTGTGTGCTATATCGAGAATAGAAATAACTAGCGCCCTACCAAGTCCGAGGCCACGTACTGTAGGTATAATATAAAGGCGCTTCGTTTCACAGCATCCAGAATCTGATGACCCAAGCGCACGCAGGGCTACACAACCTATTGGTTCTCTCTGAGAGTTACGTGCAAGAAGAAGTTCGCCAGTTGGCGGAGCATATTTTCCAGGCATGGTGGCTATCTCGTTTGCAAAGTCTTGGAAAGTGAGATCGATACCGAGAGATCGTGCGTAGGTATGAAAGAGATCCACTGTGGCTTCAAGATCCTCGAGAGTGCGTACTGGCACGATGAGAAACGATGATTTGGTGCTCATTCTGTAGATCAATGTTTTATTTGTCGACTTGCTTTTAAAGTTGTTGAAACGACTATAGGTGGTGAATCGCAGTAGCTTTTTGATATGTAAAACTAACACTTATCTTAACAGAACTTTGATTCACCTGTTTTTTTTCTCATTCTTTCTCTGTTAGATATCAACGAGTAACATAGAAGAAGAAGAAGAAGAATGATAGAATAAAGCAAAATAAAAAAGAATATAAGTGTTATCTTCTCATAAGTGAAGGTCAAAGAAAATCGTTTTTGTCATATACTTTGAAATGTACCTCGGTTGGATTGATTATGGAGTTTTAATTTTACTATTGAGTAAGGACTATACATAGAATATTATTCTCAACGAAAGTAATTGTTCACATAATATTTTTAGTTTTCTCTGGTGGTATTGGTATTTATCATGGTTGTGTACGGTCAAAACAGGCATCAACAAAAGAATTTCTTATTGCTGATGGTCAAATGAGAGTAATTAAACTTATTCTAAACTAAATGTATACGATCTATTCTTTGTTTGTACAGGTGTTACCAACAGCGATGAGTTTATTGGCAAGTTTAACATCTGCTGCATCCCTCCTTGGAGTACCAGTTGAAATCTATTATTATGGAACAATGTTTGTTTATTGCAGTATGCTAGAAAAAAAAGTGAATAGAATTGATTCAATTTAATAATTTATTTTTAAAGTCATTTCATGGTTCTTCGCAACATATCTAACAATGAAATTTTTCATTCCGAAATTTCATTCGATTGGAAGTATTAGTGTTTATGCTGTATGTATCGACCGAGTTTATCTCAATAAAACAAAAATATCTCTAAATCCTAGTATCTTGAACAACGTTTTTCATTAACAATGCGTATAATGGTCACATGCAGTTTTATTTTAGTCACTGTAAGTCGAAATTTAAGTATTTATTGTATTTTAAAATTTAAGCTAATCTATTAAGATTCTCTATATGTCTGTAATTCTCTATGGACCAAGTTTAGCTTTGAGTCAAGTGACTGGCTTAAATCTTTGGGTGGCAGTCGGATTATGTGGAGTAGTTTGTACTATTTATACAAGCATTGTAAGACATAACTTTTTTTTGAATAATAAGATTTTGGAATATAATTTCAGGGAGGCATGAAAGCTGTTATTTGGACTGATGTTATCCAAGCATCAATTATGTTTCTTGGTCTTATTTCGACTATTATATTTGGTATTATTGCTTTTAAAAAAAATAAAACTTGATTATTTTTTTTGAATAAAAAAAAGGTTTGATTGATGCCGGTGGAATATCAAAAGTATATGAAACAGTGAAAAATGGTAATCGATTACAATTATCAGTGTTTGTATATATCGTCAATAAGAGCTGAAATATAATTTTATATTTCTAGTGTAACATTTGATCCATCTATTCGTTATACAATATGGAGTGTATTAATTGGTACGACATTTTCTAGTACAGCCAACTATGCCTGCATTCAAACTCAAGCACAAAGATATATGTGTGTTAAAGATACAAAAGCAGCACAAAAGTATATTACAACAGAAAATTGTTTTGTTATTTAATATATTTTTTTAAAGAGTGGCTTGGATTAATTATGTGATGAATGTAATAATGCAAATGCTTTGTTTATGTGTTGGATGTTTACTCTATGCAAAATATAGTCAATGTGATCCTCTTCGAGCAAAAATCATTTCTCGACCAGATCAAGTAAAACGGGGAGGGAGAGAGAGAGATCTAAAGATAATTGGCTCGTTTTCTTGTTTAGATGTATCCATTATTTGTCATTGAAACATTAGGAAGATTTCCAGGTTTAACAGGTCTTTTTATTGCTTGTATATTAAGTGCAACATTAAGTACATTTTCAAGTGGAGTGAATAGTATAGCAACAGTTATTCTTGAAGATATTTATAAACGATTATCAACTACACTTGAAATATCGAATAAACAACAAGTTATTCTCTCGAAAGTGTTGTGTAAGTGTGACTGATAATTTCTTGGTAAATTTTGTTTCTCTCTTGTTTAGCGGTGTTAGTTGGTTGTTTAACGGTATTCATGGCATTTATTGTATCTTATATGAAAAGTAGTATTGCTACAGTGAGTATGACATTTCTATATTTATTCATCAAATGTCACATTTTTATCTAGATAATTCTTCAAATATTTGGCGCATTTGTAGCTCCTATTCTTGGTGTATACTTACTTGGATTGCTTTCATCACGAGTTAAAAGCCGAGTAAATATATAATTTATATTTAGAGAGTATAACTTCTACATGGATTTTAGAGTGCAATTGTGGCTTTCTTTCTTTGTTTGATATTTCAAATCTTCGTACTTCTTGGATCGATATTTACTGAAAAGCCACCTAATAAACAAGGAGGACGATTACCTACGTCTATTGCTGGATGTGTACAATTTGCTAATGTCACTATTTCAACAATAACAAAACCAAATCCTAAGTAATGATATATAAGTAAATTAAATTAAAAATAATTCATCTTTTTTTGTAGTTATCATATATTAATGCCTTTATTTTCCATATCACCTCTTTGGTTTATTTTTAATGGAACTATTCTTACTATTGTTCTTGCAATGATTTTTACTTTTATTCTTGGTAAATAGATATGACTTACGATTAGAAATGGAATAATTTCTTTTTCAAATTTAGATTCTAAAGATCCGAAAATTATCAATCCATCTTTATTGGTATCCCGACATGAGATATTTTCATGTTTTTCATCAAGAAAAGTAAATATTTCAATGCTGTATATTGATTATCTTCAATGTTTTTTTTCTAGGAAAGTATCAAACGAACAGAAACACAAAAAGATGGAACTACGATCGAACAAGAAGCTATGCTTTAGAATTTAATTGTGTTTTTAAGATTATAGTATAGAATTAAAATTAATATTCTCTAGTGCTAGATACATTTATACATCCTTGCAGGATCTTCCTTAGGAATAAAAAAATTTGCTTTGATAAATCATTTGAAATTATTAATTCTTATCAAACAATAATTAACGTCACTATTTCTTTGAAAGAAAATCTTAATAAGTATTCAGAATAGATTTAATTATTTCAAAATATGGTAATGTCTACATTCAAAGGATTTCAGTAATAATTGTTATTGCCCATGAAAAATTTGTCGAATCTTATTTTTTAAATATTGTCTGAGTTCATGATTACATATGAATAAATTAATAGTAATACTTAATATACATAGTTCAGCAATAATGGTCATTATTTCAGGGAACGATGCAAGTATTATATTATCTGACTTTTGATCATTTTGACCCCCTTCTCTCCCACAAATAATCAAGTGTGAAATTTCTGGAATCCCTCCTTCCCCTGATTACGTTATCACTACGACCTTTTTCATGATAGACAAATCTGTTATACAGTCGAAAATCTGTATACGTCATCCTTGAGCGACCCTTCCCCTCCCTACAGTAATTAGGGTTTTCGTAGCACAAACTCAGGGCTGTCGTAACGAAGTTTACAGGCCTATCGTAGTGGTTACTACAAAGTTATAGCACTGTATAAGTAACATATGAATATCTCTTATTATGGGGCTTTCGTAACAATAAATCAAAACTATTGCAACCAAAGAAGTAAGGATTTTTTTACAGAAAGAATGTTTATATCCATTGCTTTTTGTGAGATGACTCTAGTATGTACCATCTTTCAGAACGTTCACAGCTGTTTAGGTAGCCTACCTAATTTACGATCTAACGTAAATTATTCATGTCTCTACACAGCTTAATTCAAAAAGTTTCTTTATTATTGTTCTCTTTTCTAGATTTGACAAACAACAATCTCAACTGTTTGTCTCTTTAGCTCGTCTGCAATCGTGTCTCACAATCAATCTTCTATCCATATATTATACACGAAATAAAAGCAATAAGTTAAACCAATTTCTATATACTTTATATATTTAATTATTGATCAACATGACAAATACTATTAAATATTTTATTTTGACAATCAATATTCGTTCAGAGTATCAATGTTTTGGTAGGTTTCTGCCGAGTGAATGTCTTTATAGTCTTAAAAATCGTCTGTGTTTTTTTACTTAATTTAAATTTTAGAGGATATGATATTGCATCTACATGATGATCCAAAAGATGTCAAAAAATGGTTATATATCGCAAGTTCTGATTTATTAAAAGAATTAGAAAATTTTATGTCTACTATCATTATCAATGGATTTGGTACAAACAATGGTGTATTATTTGTTAAACCAACAGGAAGACAAGTTGACAGCTCTCATCGATATTATTTTTATAAAGTGTTAGCTCGTGTTCGACGAGCGGATATATGTTTATTTCAGAATATAGAAAATGAAAGCAGGTATAGATAAAGGTAGGTAAATGCTCTATTTTTTGCACATCTTCTATGTTTTACATTTTCTAGATAAATTCTTCAAAGTCTATACAAATAAAGAAGTTGAACAACACTATGAAGATGCACAAGTTATAATTGCTCGTGAACGTATACAAATCTGTTTAAATGTCGTTCATTCAGGTATTGATATAACACATAGAAAAACAATTATTGATTATACAACTGATTTGTTCCCAGAAATAATAGCTGTATCAACAACAGCAACAGAAGAAGTAGCAGCAGCAGAACATTTATCAGAAAAAATCAACGATTTACCAAGTCCTCATTCTTCATTATCTTCTTTAGCAACACCAGTACTCAGTCCACCTTCAAATGGTACAAAATCTACAAAACGTACTCGTACTGCTGCTGCTTCTACTAATTCTACTTCAATCCAGATAAGGGCGTGGATGAGGGTGTGGGCGGATAAGATATATTTATCGCTACCACCAACACCCGCTCACACCCACACCCTCACCCTCAAAGGGTGACGACATCCCTGTTTTTTTCATAGCAGCTCAACTTGTCACGTGACGAGTTGCAATCTTCTCATCAATTGTCATTATTGACTGACTCCTCCTCTCCCGTTAAACTTGATAACGTGATACTTGCATCGTCCCCAGGAATAATTGGATCAACGTAGATATAATTGCTAATAAGTAATGATAAATAAGCAGGTGCCCATCCTCCAATGAACATAGAAAATATAAAAAACATTTGTCGTAATAAAGAGATATCTCGACGATTAATTGATCCTTGCTGAATATTGACACTATTGCTTGTTGTCATACTCAGTGTTTGTGCATGAACACGACGTGAAGAAGATCGAGCATGAAGGAATATTAATACATATAATACCATATTGATGAATAAAGGCACAAATACAGCTGTCAAACATGTATAAATTTGCATCCATATTTCATAAGAACAATACTAGAAGAAAACATATTTATTATCCCATTCTAGAAAAAAAACTGAGTTTTTCGTAGAAATTTCTCTGAAAATAATTAATTATCAAGCTAGTAGACAAGATTTCAACTTTGAATATTACCAAAATCATAATAAACTTTCTATCAAACAGATGTAATTTATACATTTATATACTCGTTTTTATTTTTGCATAGAAAATGAAATCTCACAAATAAAAGTAGGTCATTATACTTATGTGTGAGATTAGTATAACTCATAATTAAATAAAATACATACTGGTTCTTGTCGAAAAATGAATGGCATTGAAATAACAAATTCACTTATCCATTGAATTGCAATAGATATTACTATCCATTTTTTTGTTTTGAATAAACCTTTTGCAGGATACATTATTGAACAAAATCGATAAATAGTAAAATTAACAAAAGCATAGGGTATTCCTACTCCCGCTATATTGTACCCATAGTACAAGACGATGCACATATTTGGAGCAAATAAACGGTCAACATCAAAATAATACATTGCAAAATAAATAAGAAAAAATATACCAGAAGCAAGTGTAGCCAAACATATATTAATTATAAATATGTTGTTATGATGACGAAAACGACGAACAAGTAAAAGTGGTATTGAATATAATAATGCAAAAAGTAAAATGACAATCGATAAAGTAACTTCAACAAGAGTAGTTATAAGAAATATATCTACCATTGTGATCAAATAATTTACCAAAATATAACTCAGTTAGGAAAAAAATATTTGAATATATAGATATGTCAAATGTCAAATGTATTTATGGATCACAACTAATGACATATGACAAGGCATGACAATGAGCTTTTCTTTCGCTAGATGAGAAATTAGAAAAAGGAAAATTATAATGTCAATCCAAAAAATAGTTCAAATACTACAGGTGTTGTCAAGAAATCCGGAAACGAAGAAATCCGGAAAAGGGATAATCCGAAAAAAGAAAGATCTGAAGCGTGGAAATCAGGAAAAAACTTATTCGTAGTTTATTCAATGTCATCGTCGCAGAAGCGAGTACCTAAAATACTACTAGAGAGGGAAGATAATAATATGAACGCAGAGCGAGAGAGAGGATAATAAAGAAAAGCACATCGACATGTTTTATTTCTTTTCCGGATTTCTTGACATATTCATATTATACGATGGACAATTCTCTCACCTACTGAATCAAATTTGATAAAACTTGGTATAAACTAATATGGTAGTGCTATGTAGTATATAATTAGCTTTCAATCAAAGAAAACATAACAAAACTTAAAATTTTTAGCCGTCCTATTTGTTTCAATAAACGCATAAAGAATATGTTGAAATAACTTTCGATATATATAGACCAAAAGATGTGATCTTTTTTCCAGAACTTTCTGTATTATAACAGACGACATATATCTTGAGGGTGTGGGCGTGATTAATTGATTCAGTCATCATCTACATTCACACATTATCAGTCTCATATCTAAACCTGAATCAACAATCACATTTCCACTCTCATTCCTCTCCAAATTCCTATAGATCAAACGACTGAATGTATTACTTTGATGATGCAGCACTCATGAGAATATTTATAGAACATTTTAAAATTATTTAGAAGGTTTACATGAACGTCTTCTGATAGAATTCATTTCTTTTCGCTGACGAATTTATCAACGAGCTACTGTAAATAAACTATTTCTTAATCAAAAGTCGTTTTGTCCATCCAAATAATATAAACGATAAAATAACAAATACTCCAAAGATCAAAAACAATCCACCCATTGAATCAATACCCATTGCAGTTGACGTTTCAGATGAAGCAGGACAATTCGTCGTTTGAAACCATTTTGCTACCAAATTATCAATAACACCTTCTTCTCTTAATGATAATATGGCAACATCTAAATCTTGTTGATATATCCATTGTTTAGATGCAACAATACCAAATACACCTTCATCAAAACTTTCACCAACTAATGTTAAATTACAATAGACATTATTAATTAGATATTCTGCAAGACCAGTATCGAGAAAACATGCATCAACAACACCATTTAATAATTTATCAAACAAATCGTCGACAGATTGTAATGGATAGTTATTTTGTTTACCGTTAGAGATTTCTCTTAAATAATAATCTTCAAGCGATGAACCGGTAATAATTCCAAGACGATTATATGGCATCTTTCCACTTTTAATATCATCAATTCCTGATATAACAGGTTTTGATTTTAGTAATGTTAAATCAGATGCTAAGTTTGCAGTATAGGATGCTAATAAGACGATACTTAAGATATATAAACCAGCAGTTAATAGACGTCCAGCAGCTGTAGTAACATTAAAATCTACTCCACATCCTGTTAGATTACCAAAACAATACCACATACCCATCGTACATAATGAAATAATTGATCTATTTCTTAATGCTTCATTTTCTTCTCTTTCGAATAGACAAATTAGGATACCAGCAAACATCATAGCACCTAAGATTAATAACCAAAGATTACGTGAGAATGGTTTTAAGAATGATAATAAATCGATAGTCACATCAGGAGTATCTCGCATGATAATAATTGTAGATGTATCAAATATTGAACTGGAAAAACCAACTATTTCTCTTCTTGCTGCAGTTACAGTAAGATCACCCATGAGTATATCATAAACACCATTAGCGACTGCTTCCATTAATTCATTACGAGTTAGATTTACTGATGGTATTTCAATATTTGGAATAAATCCTAGTCTAGTCTGTAAAAGAGAAATCAGATCAGGAAGATAACCAGTATAGTTCGTAATATTTTGTCCGAATTGATTTGTTATAATATTACTTATAGTATATGGAACTGAACCAACCAAACCAATTCGTAAAGTTATACCATCAAGTTTTGCATTACTAGAAGGAAGAACTAACGAAGTACCTGGCCAAATAATTACACTCGTTTCTGTATACTCTTGCCAACCATTATAATCCGAATAGTTTAATACAGGCACAGAATTCATACCATTTGTTGAAGTTTGAGCGTTTTGTGCAAAATAATAACTACCATTGACGCGATCTGTTCGATTAACCACGAATTGCACATGACCTGAAACACCAAGAAATGCCATATTATTAATGGTATCGAAGAATAAATCCGAATTATGAAATTGACATTGAAAACAAAATGAAGAGTTAGTAAATGATATACATGACAGAGAACTATTGATAATAGATGCTGAACATAGTTGTTGTAATGATTGAATTAGTAGCCAAGTTGCATCAAACGCAAATAAAGCATAATTATTTACATTTATTGGTTCAGGGAATGTTTCAGGTTCATATTTTTTCCAGAGATCATATGCTGCATTTAATAGTGTAGTATTGATTGGTGCATTAACAACCAATGCTGTTGTTGGTTGTACAGTAAGCATTCCAATTAATTGTGAATAAAATGTTTGATTAAAAGAATTTAGTGATATACTTGAACTTAATATCCATGTAAAATATGGACCGACAACATCAGAATCAAGTGCTTCTTGTACGATTAAAGATGTATAACTTGCTGAAGCCCATACTAGTACAATTCGTGTTGAACTACTAGTTAATATGTTCATCAGATTACCTCTAATACGAAGTGTTACAATATCAAATACAACCATATTGTTTACGGTTAAATTATTTTTTACAAAAGCTTCGTTAATTATTTTTGCACCATCAGATCCAAATGCATCGTTTTGATAAATAATGATACATGAAGTCCAATTAAATCGAATGAATAATTGGAAAATTGCTAATGCAGCTGCATTATCGGAAGGAACTATTCGATAAAAACTAGGATATGCCTTATGATCAGATAATTCAGGATCAGTTGCACTATAGGATATGACAGGTATACCAATTTTTTCGGCCAAATCAGCAATAATAGGTGTTTCTCGTGAGAATGCTGGTCCTATAATACCAATAATATTTGAAGCAGACATGATTTGACATGTATTACTAATGGCATCTATTGCATTACCACTAGTTTGTGTTGATTGCCAGTCGATAAATTGTCCTCCGATTGTTATGTTATATTGTTGAGAAAGTAATACTGCTGCTTTAAACATAGCACGAGAATGAATTGATAATTCAGTAGGATCAGTTGTATTCACTGCATCTGGAAAAAGGCCTAACAGTTGTATATTCGATGAATTTGATGAAGGCCAAATTGCTTTTACAGAATGTATATTAAACTGTTCAAATATAAATAATACAAACAACCAATGAATGCTCTTCAATAAAATCATTGTTATTTGATCTTGAGAGTGTGTATAATGAATATTATACCTGAATCGGCTCTCACATACGTCCTATATAAAAGCACCTAGATTTTATTGAATTTTTCTTTTTGATTTGAGTCAATATTATATTGTTCTGTGTCGATAAATACTGCATTCATTTTTATGCGTGAGATATTTTTAAGTGCTTCATTAAATATTTTGCTTTGAGTCAAATATTACCTCGTTATATATCGTTAAATTGTATAAAAAATAATGTAGAGTCAGTTGTTCGTCGGAAGTTGTGTTGGCGGGTATTCGTAATAGATAAACGCACCTTCCATATTTTTTAGATGCTTCGATCTAACAATTTTCTATTTATTATCTTCTTTGAATTTAGGTTGAATAAAAGTCATGGCCCAAATCGTATAATATATATTATAAAAACTGATATAATTATCCTCAAATAAGGAACACCCTCGATATCACTCTGAGCGACTAGATTTTCTATGTTTTCAGTTGCATATTGTATGAAAAGAGACTGGTTCTTTGGGAGAGGTTTTCGATCGAATACAAGTATGTCATCTATAGAATAATTTCTTTATTCTGACGAGTTTTGAATAAAATATATTTTATCCCAGGTAAACTGTGTATTTACTTAAAGCTTTGAAGAGAACTCAACATATGAAAAACATGGATGTATAACACACAAAAACAATCTCCATAAATTTATATAAGGTTTCTCAATATTGCAATCCTTTTTAGTACTTCAACTATGATTTATGGCATTATATATATATCAGATGCAACTCTATAGATGATAAGATATTATGCAGAAGTGCAATTATTTCGTAATCTAAAATATTCGCTTCGATCAATTTTTATGTTAATTCTTTCATCGTCAGTTCTAGAATATCGAATTCATTTGAATAATATCGAGAGTAAAAAAATACTGAAAACAAAATCAAGAAATATATCGAATGATAGAAATATGAGAAATGATTACCGACGAAAAGAAACATCACTCTCATTCATCTCTAGATTGATATTTGTGACATATCTATATTACTTTTTGAAATGTACTTCACATTTTGTTTACGATTTTTTAAAAATATTATTACTATAGAAAGTTGTTTATGCGCGGTGGAAAGTGACTTTCTTGCGTTAATAACTATATGATTCATTTTAATGTATATAAAACTCAAAGAAAAAACGTTATGTACTGTTAGGATCAAATGATCGCAGCTTTTATGCAAATATTAAAAAAAAATGACTCAATGAAAGTCTTTCTCAATTTTCTTGTTGTTATAAGCATATTTATAAGACATTTTCTGTGAGATACAATATATTTTCATATAGTAACAACAATAACAATGGAACAGAAAGAAAGTTCAATAGGTGATGATAATGTTATACCAAACATTTATTAAAACGTCTATTTTCATGTCTATATAGTTATCTTGAATAAAACGAAACAACTTTAGTTACTGAACAAATTCTCGTTTTTTTAAAGAAGAATGAAGCGATATTCTCTTGAGGCAGAGTTCTTTCTCAAAAATTCAAGAAAAAAAACGAGCCAATGAGTAACTGATTTGTTAACTGCCAGACCAATTTCCCAATACCATACACCAATAAGTTACGCCATTTGCATCTTGAGCAATTCCCAATCCTATATTACGAAACTTCCCATTTAAAATATTGTCCCGATGTCCCTTGCTATGCATCCATGAATTCATAACACTAGAACATGTTGTTTACCCTGCAGCAACATTTTCACCGATAATAGTCCAACTGTAACGGGCTTTATGAGCACGCTCACCGACATTTTTCTGTCCATCGATATTTTCTTCATGTGCCATATCTTTTGTTCTTGCCATATAATTGGCATGACTCTGTGCTGCACGATGTAGTCTCGAATGATACGATGAAGGTGGCGAGTTATGTGATTGACGATAATTATTACATAGATTAACGATCTCTAGAAGACACTAAATCATGACTGTAACACTATTATGCTGCAGTTTAAGTTCTGTTCGCTAATAAGAGTCTGATAATAAAATGATAATAATAGCTACTTGCCTTTTCGTGTCATTGTTATTTATGTGATTTTTAAAAAATATTTTTTTACACAGTTCTTCTTTGTAAATCGATGTAATCTTGTTATATATTATATATACTGTTGTCACATTTAGTCATTCGTTAGAAAATATATCAACGATAAAAAACGGTAATGACTCAATCATGTGACTCTTGAGATTTAAAGGATTTCGTAACTTTTCTACCTGTAAAAATGAAAAGAAATGCATGAAGATATGACTCATTTATTGTCGTTCGCTGATGCTTTTCTGGATAAGTTGCTTTTTTTTCTACATCTATTCGTATATTGATTTGCTTCTTGAACTGGTAATTAGACTTGTTTTATTAAATCAGCCATTTTCTATTTGCACATGATATTCGTTACTCAATATTTATATTGTTCAAAACAAAGTTGTGGATGTGGGCACGAATGGGCGTCAGTGAGATATAAATAAAACACTCACGTTCATATCGACACTCATACTGATTCTTCCTTGCAGTCATTCGAACATGCATCATACATAACTTCACTTACAACCACACCCACACCCTTATATAGCCTATTTTTCAAAAAAAAAAATCAAAATTATCTCAATTTACTTATTAATGAGATTTTTTTGCAAAATATCCAATGTTGCAATCATTATACTGCACGTAATATAATCAAAATATAAGAAACGGTAAACATTTTGACAATCAGAAAGATATTTTCAGTTCTGAATTTATTTGAAGTATTCCTTCGAGATATTGTTTTCCATCATCACCTATTGGATTATATCCAAGATTGAGTGTAGTCAGTGTCTTTATAAAATAATAAATAAGTAATAAAATAAGAATATTAAGACGAAAAGGAAAAGATTACGTTATTCTTTTGTAGGGCATCAGCAAGGCAGTGTGCTCCCTCTGAACTGATTTGATTCTCGTAGAGATTTAGTGTGGTAAGTATCTATATCAGTTGATATGATAATAAGGTTAAAGGAAGAATGATGTTACTTTATTTTCTCGTATAACGACAGCAAGGTATTGTACTCCTTGATCACTGACGTGATTCCAGTGAAGATTCAGTGTGATAAGTGTCTATATGAAATAGCGAACGATAAAATGATGAGATGGAAACGAGAAATTATGTTACTTTGTTTTGTCGTAGAGCGTTAGAAAGATGTTTTACTCCTTGATCACAAATCTTATTGAATCCAAGGCTCAGCATGGTAAGTGTCTATGTGAGAAATAGTGAGCAAGCAATAACATGTGACTATTAGAAGAACATATGATGTTACTTTGTTATGTTGTAATACATTGGCAAGATACTGTACCCCTTCGTCACCAATTTGATTGGATTCAAGACTCAATATGCTGATCATCTATGTGCAATAGTGCGTAAATAATAGTGTGAGAAGATTCGATGAAGAGAAGTGTTAAAATTACATTATGTTGTTGTAGAGCATGAGCAAGATCTCGTACTCCTTGGTCATCGATACGATTGGCGGAGAGCTCTATTTCGATGAGTGTCTATGTGAAATAAAGCCAAATCAATAATATGAGATGATTGGGAAAGAATACACTATTACTTCATTATGTTCCAGAGCATCAGCAATATAGTGTGCTCCTTGATTACCAATTTGATTATATCCAAGGTACAGTGTAGTGAGTATCTGTGTCAAATATCGTATGAGTGATGTGATAACAAAGTTAGAGAAAAAATAATGTTACTGTGTTTTGTTGTAGCATATCGGCAAGATATTGTGCACCTTGCTCATGAATACAATTGTATCTTAGATTCAATGTAGTGAGTGTCTACATCAAATAGTGAGTGACTAATAAGATGAGAAGGTCGATAGCAGAGACTATTATATCACTTTGTTTTGTTGTAGAGCATTGGCAAGATGCTGTGCTCCCTGATCACCGATGTGATTGTGAGAAATATCCATTGTGATGAGTGTCTGTAAGAAATAACGAATGAGCAATAGCATGAGAACGTTAGGAGGGAGGATAATGTTACTTTATTATGTTGTAGAACATTGGCAAGAAGCCGTGCCTGTCGTGGACCGATTTTATTGTTTTCGAAGTTCAATGTAGTGATTGTCTGTATGAAACAATAAGAAATTTAAAATGATTAATGAACTTCAAAATGAAAATTATAATTAATGAACCTTTCAAAAACTAGATATTATATTTCTTGTACACAAAGTAGAAAACACTTGAACATAGTGTCAGATATGTCAAATTGTTATACTAAATGTGAAATTAGTGCAGCCTTTTCCCTTGGAAAGAAAGCAATGCATTGAGCATCATAATTTTGAAGCTATAATAAGAAGCAGATGGGAAGTTAAAACAAAGAGGTTTACCTTGTATTCATGATAGCTGTCGATGATTGTATTGAGACGTGTACAAACATTTTCCATGGAACAAAAAATACTCAATGTACTCATATGATCCAGAATCCGATACATAAGTTCAACGGGTAGTGTAAGAAGAGATAGAACACTTTTGCCAGACATTGATGAAAATTGTTAGATTATTAGCTGCCTTTAAATGTATGTTTGTTTGTTACAGAACACGAATAATTGGAAGTTTTTGTTTTTTAAGTAAGTTAACGTTCGCTTTGTGTCACATGTTTCTTCATGATTGTGCAATTATTTATTATTAAAAGAAATACAAATGGATGACATCAATGATGAAATATGAATACATGCCATATAGTGACACCTTTTATTTACATGTCATCTCTCACATTGAGGGTGTGTGTGGGATCGCTTTGTTACACCCACACCCTCAAAATTCAGCTCATCATCTTACTATGTTCGTTCGCAATATTGTGTGATTAAAATAGTCTTCAAATAAATATAGATGACGCTCTTTCATTCTACTGTATTCCTATGTACAATACAAACGAACTGAATATCCTCCTTCTGTCTTTAATGATGTGGTAACTCGTATTAACAAATAATGCGGAATATGTATGATTAGCGACCCCTTTTCGAGTTTTCTTTTACAAGTTTTTTCCATTTTGATCTAAAACAATCCTAGTTTTTTTTGTATTGATTTGAAATAGTATTGATATTGGAACTATTTGACATATGCCTCCGTGGATAATAAACATCAATAATGGCGAATGTCAATAGAAGTGAATGTATTTATACAATAGCTGATACATACATTACAAATTTATAAATCAAAAATGAGCTCGACTATTGCATTACAATTAGAAGAGAACGGCAATGCTGAAGATAAATATGGTATGACACATGTCTGTCGTGCTATAAAAAGTGGTAACAAAGATCTTGTTCTTGCTTACATAAAACAAGGTCTCGATATGAATTATAAAAATTCAGTTGATGGTGTAACAGCATTTATTCGTGCATGTAACTCAGAAAATATTGATATGGTTCAATTTCTTATCGATCACGTCAAAAATCTCAATGTTAATTTAACCGATAGAAATGGTAATTCAGCACTTTATTATTCATGTCAATATGGTCATAATGAAATTGTCCATTTGATTCTTGAAAAAACGAAACCTAAAGTTACATTGAGTACTATCGAAAAGGCATTGCCAATGATGAAAGATAGTGTTATGAAAGAACTTATTGATCATTATATAGCTGACATGAACAACAATCCAGGAGAACTTGTCAATGTTATTGCAAAAGGACCTGCATCACTTGCTCTTTTACAATATGTATCCGCCAAAACTAGTGATAGATGTAATGTTCTTGATGAAAGTATCTTTCTTTCGGCATGTCAGTCACATGGTAACATCGAAATGATTACTTGGCTATTAAACGACCGCGGATATCAGTCAGTAATCAATACATGTACTGATTCTGATGGTCGCACAGGACTTATGCTTGCAGTTCTGCGACATGCGGAGTCCGTTGTAGAACTACTACTAGCACATGGAGCTAATCCATATATAAAAGATCGTGGTAATATGAATGCTATCGATTTGGCCAACACAAGTTATGATGACGGGGCCGATTACATGCGCATACGAGATCCACCTGATGAAGTTGTCAGAATTATTAATCTTCTTACTAAATATGAAAATCATCAGAACTAATTCATCTTCGAACGGTTATTGTGTTCGAAATCAAATGTTAAGCATGGTTTTATCTGTAATCTAACAAAGACTCGTAAAAAATTTAGAACTTCTTATCGAACTGATGATGATTTGAATGCATCAAAAAAAAACATTGCTAACGTAATCCCTACAGGATTAAAATATGAAACACGAACTAGCTACTATAACATCAGTTAATGCCAATTAATAACGTCTATCACAATCTGTGGGACGTGCAAATTTCTACCTTTAAACAATTCAACACTCTTTTTAGTTCGTGTTTCACAAAAGTAGTTAATACAATCTCTGTTAGATTCAAATATAAAACACTCGAACTGATTACTTGAACTGAAAACGAGTTAATAGTGTACTGTTTGTTGCATTAGAGAAGAGAGTGCTAATCTCTCTTTATTATTTTCAATTCTTTTTTTATTATGTATTTTTACACAAACATAATATAAACTATTTCCTCTGTTATTTATAATGTACAGGATCTATGAAAGATAAAATATCATATCCTACTGGTGTCTATTATGATGAAGCTAATCAACATTTATTGTTGTTGATGAAAGTAATGAAAGCTAGGAAGCATAGTTTAATTGAATCATTCCTCTCGCTTTTATTTGAGAATGTAGTAGATGGGTATGTTGCTTATTATTCTGATTATGAAATTTCAAAAATATGAACTGTATTTCAATTAGAATATTTTGCTAACTGAAATGAGTTTTTGTACGATGAATATAAATTTGTTTAGAAAACCAACACATCATGAAATAAGATAATTTATTTAAATAAACAATAAAATAGACACCGAAATGGGAAGACTTCTTTGATTGGTATCATATCGCCTCAAACATCTTGAGGTTGGAGTAGATATGGATGTGAGTAAATAGTAGTGTCGTATTTTTCCTATAGTCTCATCAACAGCCTTACGACGAAAAAAATACATTAAAATACAGGTAGTTTTATTTGTATAACGAAATTTTTCACTATACATTATTTAGTATTAGGTATGAAAAAAGTTGAAAATGTTTCTAAATCTTGGTCAGTTTGTTCGATATTGTTTTGATTAGCTGCCTGTTTCGCAATATATGCATTTTTGTCGAGCCATATAGATAAAGAACCACTTTTTAATCGATAGCTATAATATTCATTTTCATGTTGGAACCGTTGGATAGCAACAGAAGGATCATCGGAAGTATTCATGTATAATTTGATGCTTGAACGATATCCAACGTTTTGAATGGCCTTACTCATTTGAGTCACCGTGGATACGGAAACTGTCAAATGTCTTATATGATCAAGAATTAGTGAAAATGTTTTTATATCTCGATCACGTGTGCTCATACCACGCGTCATTTTGAGTGAGTGAACATTCGGTGTTAGTTTCAGCAATGAACAAATATTAATCATTAGATTCGGATCGTAATCGGATGCTTCGCCAGTTTCTATAGATATTTTAGTTAAATATGATAGATTGATGAGAGATGAAAGAACTCGAAGTGAATATGTTGGCCAATTATGATTAAGACTCAATTTGAGATAATCAACTTTAGTAAACATTGGAGCACTTGGTAAATTATTCTATAGAAACCAAAGATATTTTAATGTATAAAGTTACTGAAGACAAATTATTCTGTACACAACGGTGACAACAAACATAGTGAGATAGTAAACTAATGTGTCTAAGTAGTCGCCGAACAACACAAGTCTGCTTGATAGCTCCTCACATATTTGACTATTGAGTATTATTTTGTGAAAGAAGAAATAATCTTATAAATAGTGCGATAAGTTGCTCATTAGTCGAAAATCTCAGTGAAAGTCTCTTATTATGTTTCGAAGTTACAAAGAATACATAAAAAGGTTCAATAACAATAAAAGTTATTTTTAATCATACCTGGAATGAAGTTACTGAAAACATTTTTTGAGATAAGTTCAAATACACGTTGCGTATTCCATCCATGATGATTGTGTTACTGATTGTTGGTACTGATGTTGAACGCGAGAATCGCTTTGATTCGAGGTTATATCGGAATTGAGGATCATACATCGATGATGAATAAAGCATGAGATGTTGTGAATTCGTGCCGTAATCACATATGACAAACCAACGTTTAGTTTCCGTCCAGAATGTTGTTCGAAATGGAGCAATCAACTGTTCAATATAAGCAGGAGTAGTGACCATCTGAAAGGTTTCGGTAAGAAAAAATTCAAATTTGCTCAATAACACTAATCTTGTTTCGATGAAGTTTTGCCATTGAGATAGATGCGACATAAAATCACGTATATAGACACATCGCACGAGACGAAGATGTTCTAGTGCTGGTGTTTGTGAAAGAAGGAGTTCGAGCATAAGCATATTAATTGTACAATATTTGAATGTCAATGAAGATAATTGATGAAATGATGTCGGATTTGCTAGTTCAGGCATTGAGGCATTCATATTAGCCATACACAATTTTTCTACTACTAAGGTTCGTAGATTTGGTAAATGATAAAGAATGTTACAATATGCATCGCAAGTGTCACAATGAATCTCCAAATGTTGTATCGTACATTCAACAGGCCACACTATTTCAGATATATCAATGTCCACAATATCTAAAGTGAGTTTTCGAAGAGTACGCAGACAGACAGTGGATGACAGATCATCTATAATTGTATTGTTTTTAGTAAATTCTTCTTTTGAAACAATGATTAGTTCAATGATTTCTAATTTATGAACATCTCTTAAAACCATACTTAAGTAACGGTCATCAATTTCGAGAAGAGTCAAAGAGCGAAGTTTAGTAAATTGTTCGATTCGAAAGCGCGACAGAAAACATCCAATTTGACCAGGTGTTTCATCGTCATCAGAAAGTGTCAGAAACTTGATATTCTCAGGTGGAATAATATTACAAATATAATGAAAATCAGATTTTAAAATAGATTTAAAGTTGATATCGAATTCATCGTACATATTAACCATATTGTGGAATCGTTTGCATACAAGACGAAATGAATGAACAATTGTTTGTGTATCGAGGTGACGAAAAATAAGGTGAATAAGTTCAAGCGGTAATATACAAAATAATGAATCTTGTTCGACAGACATGCTACTGTAAAAATGAATCTTTTGTTAAAATATAATTTCTATCGAATCTGAGAGGGCAGAAAAAAATATTTGTTCTTTTCTAAAATATAATTGAGAAAAAAATAAACTGTACAACGTCCGCGTGTGTGTATGAGAGAAAATTGAATAAATGATCTTATTTATTTCTAAGTAATTCAATTGCTACATTAATTGTTTTATAATTATTGTCAAAGAAAATCTTATTTTCGATCAATTACTGATTATCAGACAACGGTTTCAATTTCTTCACAGTAAATGTATTCAAAAGAATTACACACTTCTTAATTTTTTCAAACTTGTACAACACTTTTTTTATTTTTGCTTGCTGCTTGCCTACCAAGCGACACTGTTTTTATATTTTAAAGAACACGTGTGTTATTTTTTCTATTCTCATTCAGTAACACGGGTGTGGGTGTGGCTATGAATACTGTATTTACATAGATAGAAGCCATATTAATACTCTTGATAATGTCTTTTTATTTTTATAGTTAAGTAAAGAATGATAATATGTGTTTTGAACACATTCCTATCGATGCTGAAAACTGCATAATCTATGAATCTAAACAAAACAAAAGACGTATACAGTCTATTCTTAATATGAGACACGATGTGTCCATTTATTCTACAATATGTACAAAATAATTTATAGTTTAAAGAATCGTTCTCAATACATTATAATCAAGACATTCACATAGAATATATAGTTTAATAAAAATTATATTTATTATTAGCACGATTATACTGACATCTGTATGATTTATTTTACTTACTATCGACTAATATTAAAGTTTGTGCAATATATATCAAAATGTTCTATTTCAAATACAAGAATATTGTTAACACTATAATTTGTAATGTAGAAACAAATCGTCCATTCTTATTTTTCTTCTGATTGATTGATTGATTCAGTGTCTTCGGAATGATTAATATACAATTGTTGTGAACCTCACTGATGAAATAACAAGATGATGAATGACACAGAGAAAGAAAAAGAAACAATTTTTTCTTTTTCTTTCCAGATTCTATCGATGAAAAAGTGTCACCTACACATTAACTTACCGAAGTACTTGCACCAACACAGGTAACACAAAGTTGGAAAGAAAAAAATTTAAAAAAAGTAGCATGTTGGCTTCGTTCTGTTTGGTTCATTTTAATGTTATAAATAACTGCTTTTTCTTAGTTTTTCTTTCTTTCTCTGTTATATTTTGCAACTGTGTTCTCAATAGTAACTAGGTACATTTTGCTTTCACATTGCGACAAAATAACACCAACACTGTGTATCAAAGAAAAATCGAGAAAAAATAAATCGTTGCCCATATAAATCAATACTGTAATCTCTATTTTTATTCAAATCACCACACTCATTTGCAAGATCACATTCATCGTCCAGTTACAACTCACACTAATATGGCCGTACAAGAATCACAGGAAAATGTTAGCTCAACCTTGAGTTCAGGCGCATCTAATACAGCTTTTACAACAACAGCGCCATCAACACGTCAGCGTATGGCTCAAAATTATCTATTGGTTTGGGTCGATCAAAACATTGATCAAATCAGCAAAGATTGTCAAGATACATTGGCACAACTCCGAGCTGTAGTGAACGATGTCACTATATGTACCCAACCAGACGAATGTATCGCGTTTCTCGATAAACACAATGATGAAAAAACTTTCGTCATTACACCGGGATACTTAGGTCAACATTTAGTTCCTGAAATCCATAGCATGCCAAAATTAGATGCCATTTACATATTTTGTGGCAACATATCTAATCACCAACAATGGACCAAAGGTTGGAACAAAATTAAAGGTGTTCATGACAATATCAAGGATCTTTGCGACGCAATAAAGGGAGGTATCAAACAAGTTAATCAAGATTCAATTCCTGTTAGCTTTGTCACGGTGAATCAACTGGAACCAAATTACATGTACACACAAATTTTCAAGGATATTCTGCTTGAAATGAAACATGATTACAATCAAGCCATCCATATCTTAGCGGTTTATTGTTACAAATGTTATTCAGGGAATATTAATGAATTAAATGTTGTTGATGAATTTAAAAGTAATTATCGTCCAGAACAAGCTATCTGGTGGTATACACGTGAGTGTTTTACCTATCAAATGCTCAATCGAGCACTTCGAACATTAGATGCCGATACAATTATTAATATGGGATTTTTTATACGTGATCTCCATGAACAACTTCATCAGCTACATGAACAACAACTTCCGAATTATCATGGTAAGCCTTTCATAGTTTATCGAGGACAAGGTTTGTTGAAAACTGATTTCGATAAACTCAAGAATACGAAAGGTGGTCTTATGTCGTTTAATAACTTTTTATCTACCAGTACCAAACGAGATGTTTCCCATCAATTTGCCAAAGGTGCCTTACGAAATACAGATATGGTGGGAATACTTTTTATAATGACAATTGATCCTTGTGTCTCATCAACACCATTTGCCTCTATTAAGGAGGCTAGTTATTTCAAGGAAGAAGAAGAAATTCTCTTCTCAATGCACACCGTCTTCCGAATAGATGATATTAAACAAATGGACAACAATGATCGACTTTATCAGGTAGAACTTCACCTAACTGCTGATGATGATGAACAACTTCAGCGACTGACTGAATGTATAAGCAACGAGGTTGCGGGTGGCACAGGATGGCAACGATTGGGTAATTTATTACTAAAAACAGGTCATTTCAATAAAGCTGAAGAACTATATAAAGTACTACTTGAACAGCCATTGAACGATAGCGATAAAGCACTTTATTTTAACAATCTCGGAACTGTCAAAAAGAATCAAGGTGATTATGGACAGGCTATAGATTATTACAAACAAGGACTTGAAATGTATGAGAAAACTCTTCCAGCAAATCATCCTTCGTTAGCTACTTCCTATAACAACATCGGTAGTGTGTACGATCACCTGGGAGAAGCCTCGAAAGCACTTTCATTTTATGAAACAGCACTTGGAATCTGGCAAAATGCTCTTCCTACTAATCATCCATCGTTGGCTATTTCCTACAACAACATTGGTTTAGTGTATGATAACATGGGAGAATACTCGAAAGCGTGTTCATTGTACGAAAAAGCACTTGAAATTCAAGAAAAAACTCTTCCTGAAAATCATCCTTCGTTGGCTACTTCATACAACAACATTGGAACTGTGTATAAGAATATGGGAGAGTACTCAAAAGCGTGTTCATTTTACGAGAAAGCACTTGAAAATCAAGAAAAGACTCTTCCTGCTAATCATCCTTCGTTAGCTATCTCTTACAGTAACATCGGTGGCGTATATGCTAAGATGGGAGAGTACTCGAAAACACTATCATTTTACGAAAAAACAAATGAAATCTGGGAAAAAACTCTTCCTGCAAATCATCCTTCGTTAGCTACTTCTTACAGCAACATTGGTTTAGTGTATGAAAACATGGGAGAGTACTCGAAAGCGCTTTTATTTTACGAAAAAACACTTGAAATCGACGAAAAAACTCTCCCTGAAAATCACCCTTCGTTGGCTATTTCCTACAACAACATTGGTTTGGTATATGATAATATGGGAGAGTATTTGAAAGCACTTTCATGGTACGAAAAAGCACTTGAAATTCAAGGAAAAACTCTTCCTGAAAATCATCCTCACTTAGCTGGTTCCTACAGCAACCTCGGTAATCTATATTATAATATGACAGAATATTCGAGAGCACTCTCATTTTTTGAACGAGCTCTTGACATATGGCAGCGTGCACTACCTCCAACTCATCCTCAACTTAACATTGTGAAAGAGAGTATTGAAATTGTAAAAACGAAATTATAACTTTTGGTTTGGATAAATAAAAGAATATTTTCTTTTTGCGTAAAAGAAAAATAATTGTACTTCTTTTTCTATTTACTTGCGTGCGCCTACAGAGAACATTTATGTAAATAATAGAAACGCACTGGATATAGCCGATCGGGTGAGTGTGTCTTTGAATGTAAGTCTTTTTCACTTTTTCACCTACACTCACACCCTCCAGATGGTTTTATCTTGCCGAAATGATTGTTCTTTGAAGAATATGAAAATTCTGTTTTTGTTTCTCTTTTGAAAATCATAGTTTAAATTAGGTGTGGCTGGGATGTGATTTGAATGAGTATAATCAATATAGGTGTTATATATCCATCTTGCATCGAAACCCATATCCATCATCAAGACAGCTCTTCGTTGAATCATCAGTATTGAAACATTTTTCATAGTATTGTTATCAGTGAATGTGTTGAAAAAAAGAATACTTTCGATTTAGTTAAACCATGTATATAGTTACATCCAGCGCACAATATTTGACATAGGATGAAACAAAATAATTAAAAAAAACAAATTATCTTCGATATGAAGCGTCAGCAATGTATAATAAAATTTCAATTATATAAATCTTTCTCTTTCACTCATATCATATATCAATAGATACTAGAAAAATTATTCTATTTTTTTCTTGCTTCAAATTCTGGTATAAAAGTTAAAGAGTATTCTAATATTCGATACACATTTTTCTTCTTTTTTCATTACAAGTAATGCTTTTTTTGCTTGCTATTGCTGCTCTTTTGGCTACACCTATTGTGGGTAAGATGAGAAGAGAATGGAATATCATGGTGATAATATATATATTTATTTTATTCGTGTTAAGGTGATTCGTGTCAATCATACAATCATCCTACATATGGCAAAACTGGTAAATGTATTAAAACTTCCAACTGTCCGAATTCTCTTTACATATCAAATTTATGTGAAAGTCAACCAGCTGATGTAAAATGCTGCTTCTCGTCTGGCACGTCTACTGGAAGTAGGTTTATAATTAAAAATTGTAGATATAAATCGAAGATTGATGTTTTAATTAGCTGGTAGCTGTCCAACCATCGTCAGTCGTGCTAGTTGGGGTGCCCGAGCAGCAAAAAGTAAAACGAATATGGCTACTCCCGTCTCTCATGTCGTTATCCATCATACAACTGGTGCTACTTGCACAACAAAAGCTTCATGTATAACGAAAATGAAAGGATTTCAAAATTATCATATGGATAGCAATGGTAATTTATAATGAAACAACGTTTTTTTTTCAATAAATTAAAGGATTTCTATTCATTTTTAGCTTGGGCCGATATTGGATATAACTTTTTAGTTGGTGAAGACGGTAATGTTTACGAAGGACGAGGATGGTCATTAGTCGGTGCTCATTGTATTGGTTATAATTCTAAATCTATCGGTACAGTATGATTTGATCTGTAGTTGTCGACTCTATGTTTGATGTTACAGGTATTTCGGTTATCGGGGATTATACTTCGCGTAAACCAAGTACAGCAGCTCTGAGTGCAGTGAAAGCTCTGATTAAATGTGGTATTTCCAAAGGTATTATTCGAAGTAATTATGTTCTTCGAGGACATCGGTTCGTATGAATATTATTCGATGAATTCATTTTAATAAATTTGATTCTTTGATTTTTCTAGTGACCTTGATAGTACTAGCTGTCCTGGTAATTCTTTCTATGCAGAAATTAAAACATGGGCTGCTTATCGATCAGTTCAACGAATCAGTTCAACTCCTTCATTTAATTTTCCTGAAGATTATCTTGTTATGCGAGATATGTAAGGAACATAAACGATGGTTTTCACTGTTTTCTTATTCTACTTGAATTATATGTGAAAGAATGTGAAAAAAAGATTCTTGAAATATAAATTCAAATGAAAATAGATATACAAATTTAATATAGGTCATTTGATCAACTGCTATGAGTGTGTGTTCTGTTATCAAATAAACAGTCTGGTTGATTGAAGAGAAGTCAATGAAGAAGAGAGAAAAAATAAGAAAAGTCATGTACTCTGTAGTGGATTAGTTCATAAAAGAATGAATATAAGTACAAAAATTTGGCTAAATGATCATCGCTGTGCAATGGTGGCATTTTAATAACAGAAGACGTTCAAAAACTCATAAACGGACGTGATAATAACTGTGAGTGCAGTGAGAATACTTACAGATATGCGAGTATAGAATGTCGATATGCACGTGTGTGTGTCAACGTGATTAACGATAGATGAAAAAGTAGGTCAAAGCTGCATATAATACTCACATCTGATCACACTCTAGATAGATATAATATAAAAAATATACTTGCAATGAAACTGATATGTTTTATAAAGCTATACCCAATAAATCAACAACATAGAATCCAAAAAGATAGTGAAAAAAATCTAAAGATTATTTAACTCTTTCATGTTACATTAATATGACCGACAAGGAGCAACTGACGCCTCTAGTATTTAGTACAAATTATTCTTTAGATGTTTCCAAATATTCTTACTTAACTTCTAGTATTATTATTTTATATATACAATAACTATATTTTGAGAGAGGTGGGTGTGAGACTTGAATATAATACCTACAGCCATAACCAACCACTCACCCACACCTACACTCTCAAGATATTCGAAACTATTTTTCTGAATCGGCAACTTTATATTCGTTTTATAAAAAAATTAGAATCAATTTAAAGACAGCTATTAACCTACAATAAGAGCCATATATATATTAAATATTTTTCGTTTATCTTTTGATCGTTGCAAGATTACGTGTTGTAATTAATCAGTGAACATAAGCTTTTCCTATCAATTTGTCTGAACTGTTTTGCATTTCTGCACAATTTTTTAAGACCTTCGCATGAAAGTGTCTGTTTGTGGACGCAAAATAATTTTTCATCAATTGCAAAGCCTAGTTGCGTGAATATACATCTATCACAATTCTATAGAGGTGGAGTGTATAAATAAACTCATAATTACTCAAACTCAATTATTTTTCATTTAGTTATTGTATTTAGACCCTCAAAATGATCGATTCAGTAGTTGATTGTTCTTGTTTATTTGTAAATGATAGAGAGAAAAATAATTTCTTGAATTGTTCATGTATACAAATCATCATCATCATCTGTATAAGTAATTGATCCTTGACTAGCATCACCTAAGAATTAGATATGGCTATTATTGAGAGAATAAATTGTTCAAAGTCTCTTACCATTGTTATTAATATTTTCTGGGAATTTGAAGTTGCCAAGTGGTAATCCATACTTGTATGATTGTAACATATGTGCAAAAATTTCGTACTTACGAATATCAGTATTCAATGCTTCGCAGCAACGTGGATAATATGCCATAGCTTGTTCAAAATGTTCTCGTTTAATGATAAGATCAGTCACATTAGAATCATTATTTTGCTTTGACTGTTCCATTTTTTGTTCGTTCTCGGTTAATTGATGGATAGCCGCTTTAACGGCTCTTCTACATATTTCGATAATACTAGCACTACTCCCTCCACATAATACTGTAGCCAATAGTTTAATATCTACATCTTTAGCTAAAGAACATTTTCGTAGCGCAATCTTAAGAATAGCATATCGAGCTGTTTCGTCGGGAAGTGGAATATAGATTGTTTGATCAAGACGACCTAAAACAGAGAATCTTTGTATTTATTCTTTCAAATTTGATCTCCATTTTAAAATCTCACCCGGTCGAAAAATGATCTCATCAAGTCGATCAGGTCGATTTGTTGCACCAATAATAAATAATTTTATTTTGTAATTGATACCATCTATTTCATTTATTATCTGGTTAATGAGACGCTCAGATGATTTATTGCCATAAGGCACATTATTATCACGAAGATTGTCTATAGAATACAATTACAATTAGAATTAACATTTTTTTTTCACTTTGTCTTACATAAACAATCGAGCTCGTCGATGAGTAGTATACAAGGTGACATTTGACGAGCTTTCTCGAATGTACTGCACAGATTATTTTTGCTATCATTATCTGATGACAAGGAGAGCAATTCAAGGCAATTGACTGAAATAAAGTTGATATTACATTCATTGGCAAGTGCCCTGGCCAACATTGTTTTTCCTTTACATAAAATATACAGTTCAGTTTCTAAACATTACTATAAGAACTTACCACAACCAGGTGGACCATACAAAAGCACACCACGTGAAGGTGCCATACCGAATCGAATATATCTTTCGTCATATACATTTGAACACAGAATAAATTCTTTCAATACTTCTTTTATATCTTCCATACCACCAATATCATCAAAATCGACTTCATTTATCGATGATTCTCCGATTTCACGTTCAACTGGCTCACCTTCACAATCAATAATTGTTTCTGGTGCTACGATACAGTATGGACTTGGTTCAGTGTCAATGACCTTGAACTCGACTGTAATATTCGTCTTTATTGGAACAATAAATATATCACTGATGCGAACGGGTCGGTAGGCGTCGAAAAAATACTGATGCAAATATTGTTGCACAACATTTCTTGTGATATCTTTCAAAGTATTAGCAATGGGTAAAACATGAATACGTGTGCCATACTTAACATGTGGACACCCATGAATGAAAATGATATCATTTGCTTTTACTCGTAAATTGTTTTGTATAACATGATTCACTCGAATATGATCATCCTGACATGAATCATCAGAAAAGACACTACAGATAGTTTCACGTCGTTTCCTTGATTTGAGTTTTACTGTATCACCACAAAATAGCTCTAGTTTATTCATGGTTGTCGAAGATAATCTCACCACACTAGTATCATTGTCGAGCGCATCTTCGATTAACAATTGATCAGGATGATCTACTTGATCTACAATTCATGAAACGAAATAAAATGAAGTAAACAGTGGGAGTTTATACTCACGCAAGTCAGTAGTCATATTATTTCTTGCAAGATAATTCGATCAAAATTTATGATCTACAAATCGGAGGTATATATAAGAAACGTTCTTGTCTTAATAAATAAATATTCTACACTGTCGCTATAAACAGTAAAGTTGCTCAATCATAATGTAAAACGTTAGTAAAGAAATCGCTATGTACGTGTCATACAACGATAAATGAAACAGAATAGCAATGCAAACACACTGATTTACCGTCAGTTTGCTTTGCATTCTGCGTAAAACATGCGCCATCTTTTGATAACAATATTGCTTCAAGCAATATGATAATAGAAGAAAATTTACAGAGATTTAGATGACAACAACTTATTTTGTATCATTTATGTAACCAAATATGTAACAGCATATCATGTATAGATTTCAAAATCTCTTTATTCACCAGCTTCACTCAAGTGTATAAAGGTTGTAGTATTCTGCTAATGGTCATAAATGAGTCACTCATCAAGTATTTCATATTTTAAAAAGTTTTGAACATAGCTCTGCTATCATCTTTCTATCTGTTACTCTAATAGTATTCAGATTATTTTGACAATGAGTTTTTAATTGTTTCTGTCATGATTATCAATACATTGCATCATATAAGGTAGGAACATGAAATTACTCGATGTACATAAAAACACGCGTAATACACTATAACAGTCAGTAATGATGACATTAAAGTTAAACATGGATAATTTAATTGAACGACTTCTCGAAGGTCTGTTTTAACTTTGATTTCTCTTTTGAGGAATATTCATGAATAAATTTCTTTCTTTATTGAAGCGCGTGAAGTTCCGATATCAGAGAAATTTGTTCAGATATCCGATGATGAAATTAAATTTTTATGTGAAAAATCAAAAGAGATTTTTCTCAGTCAACCCGTACTTCTTGAACTTCAAGCTCCCATCAATATTTGCGGTAAGATGAAGACTATACAAAAAAACGATGAGAGATTCATTTAACTACTATATGAGATTAATGGTTCAGATTCTTATCATATATTTTGTTAGGTAATATTTGCGGTCAATATACTGATTTGCTTCGTCATTTCGATCAGGGTGGATTTCCATATGAATCCAATTATTTGTTTCTTGGTGGTTATGTTAATCGTGGTAAACAATCCTTAGAAACAATATGTCTACTGCTTGCTTACAAAGTTCGTTAATTTTCTATACAATTTAAATTTATTTTATATTTGACAGATAAAATATCCAAATAACATTTTCTTACTACGAGGAAGTCACGAATGCGCGTCATTAAGTCGCATCTGTGGTTTCTATGATGAATGTAGGTATTATTTACACTTATTTATTCTTTGAAATATTAACAGTTTGTATATAATTATATTACTTTAACGTTCATTATTGTAACTATCCATAGGCAAACGACGATGCAATATCAAGATATGGAAAGCATTCACTACAGTAAGGCTAATATCTTTTCTCTTTTTCGAGAAATATTTCTGTATATATAATCTGCTTTAAGTGTTTCAATTGTCTTCCAATAGCCGCTATTATCAATGAGAAAATCTTTTGTTGTCATGGAGGTCTTTCGCCTGAGCTCTATAGTTTAGAACAAATTCGACGCATCCAACGACCAACTGATGTACCAGATATGGGTAAGGAATACTTGTAGTATCGTATAGAGAGGAGTATCTAACGATAAGACTTTAAATAATAAGGGAATTTTCATCTCTTTTCTTAATCTATATTGCTCAGGTCTGCTTACTGATCTGCTATGGTCTGATCCAGATAGTGAAGTGGAGAATTGGAGTGAAAATGATGCTGGGATTTCGTTTAGATTTGGTGCTAGTACTGTAAATAAAGTAGATCATTGAATAAATTTTTGTTCTATTTTTTATTGATAAACACGATTTTTTTAGTTTTTAAGTCGATTTAATATGGATCTAATATGTAGAGCGCATCAGGTAAGACTTTAGATATATTCTTTAAGATTTTATTTGGCTTTAAAGGTTACTGAAAATGGTTATGAGTTTTTTGCTGATCGTCAATTGGTCACTATCTTTTCAACTCCGGACTATGTTGGTGAATTCGATAATGCGGGTGCTCTTATGCGAGTCGATCAAAATTTAATGTGCTCATTTATGGTATGATAGATTTTACAATTAGTTTCTCTAATGTGGTATATCTTTTCTCTTCTCTAGGTGCTTCCTTCGAAGATAAAGAAAATTGAGAAACAAGATGATCTAAATCTCAAATTGATCCATGCAACACAAGTCTCAACTAATAATATAAGCAATTTATCTTTAATTCGAATGGATATTTGCCATAAATATGTAAAATGGGCCGATATAGACGATGTTATACCATCTAATGAACCAACATTGTACGCACTTTATAAAGAGCTTTAAATGATTTTGGTTTATCTAAACCAATCCTCTTTCACATCTTCAATTTTTTTTCTTAAACTATTAACTATTTCTTTATTAACAAAGGAAAGCAAAAGATAAATCATAAATACATGTAACAGATGCCTAAGATTTGCATAATGAATAGGGTATGGGTATGTTTGCAAACGATATACACCCACACCCACCCCACACCCACCATCAGCAACGAACATTTGTTAATTTGTTGAGCGTTTTAAGTCAAGTTGTTTGGGTAAACTAAAAGAAATTCTTAAATTTCTTTTTATCATTTCTGTTAAATCGACCAGTATATTGCTGATCAATTCTATTCCTGATAATGATGAAAATGTTTCATCTTTTGGCTTCCACGCTGAATGTCTTAAGAACACAAACGGTCTATCTCCAAAAGTACCATCGATTAGTGTACCAAAACATGTAGATAAATCATAAATAGCTATCATTTGTTTGCTAATACTGGATTGTTCTATACCCATTATTGTAAAATCTATAAAATAAAAAGTTCTTGTTTATTAAAAAATAATCCAAACAATCGTTAGATTAAAAACCTAAACGGATAGAATTCTTACCAGTACTGCATATTCAAAATTCCACAGTTGTATTCATTTCTTTAAATAGCAAGGACTGCTATATTATAATTCAAGTAATAAATATCGTGCGCATTCGCTTCTTTCGTCGAAATGTTTTACATACAATATTTTTTGAAATTATATTCTTCATTAATCGATAGCTCGTCATTTTCGCCTATTAGTCGTACCCATCGTGGAATAGTTTGAATAAATATCATACGTGTTCACTTCGTCGTTGAAAATGTCCTAGATAAAATATTCTAGAAATGAAATATAAAACTTATCAGAATGGGTATATATATGATCTTCAATTTTGTTGTTAACGGACCAACACCGACACACTCATGAACAACAACGATTATTTTCTCAAACATTTGATCAATACAGAGCGTTAAACCGGAATATCTTCCACATGCAGTAGTTATCTTCTTACAACTTGACTAATTATGTTCATATTCACTGTTTTATCTAGAATATCTACTGGTATTGAAAAAATATGTCAGTTGTTTCATGACAAATACTTCTTTCGATCTTGCTTTATGATCTCATCGGAGGAAATTATATGATAGTACGTCGATTATAGTAATTCTTAATAAAAATATATAAATTATATTTGAATCGCTGCTTAAGAATAATGAAATTATTATTTTATTTTGTGATCGACAGAATTGATCATAGATTATCATGAAAGGCAGTAGATAGAAATGCGAGTGGAGTGCATTTCTGTATTTATATCATTTCTCAGCCACACTCACACCCTCAAAATAGCATCATGTAAAATTTTCGATTGAATATTCTTTTAATGATAATTATTCATCAAGAAAAACATCAATTTCATCAATTTCAGCAAAATTCATTCCTTTTGTAAGAGCTAAAGTATTAGCACCTTGTTTAAGACTTGCACGAACTATACTTGCACCCCACATATCCCATCCACTGTATACGATTGGTATTTCAATTCGATTACCATTATTAACTGATAACCAATGTGTGGCAAGTGCATTTCCTGCCGATCCATTTCCATTACGAATAACTATTATATAAGTACCTGCTTTTGCACAATGTACAGTAAATTCAACTGTACTATCTGGAAAATCAATGTATCCTACTTTAATACCATTTGATGCACTTGGATGGGCGTGTTGATAGGGTCCATTCAAAAGACGTGCATGTTCTGCTTCATAACGATCTCGTAGTTGATCACCAGATGGTATACGTATTGGTATGTTAGGATTCATTGGTGAACCTAGATTTGGTGTTGAATCAGCATTCCATGTAAATTGTTGAGCACGAACTTGTCGAGTCCAACCCGAACCGCTATAACGTGCTGAATGATAAATAATCCAATCTTCTCGATCATCAGGAGATTTTGTAAAACTTTGATGACCTGGTCCATAAATAGAATTGCCAGAACGAAATATTGGATTTGTTTGTTTCACCCAAGAAGCTGCGTTCATTAGATTACTATTTATTGATGCTGTCATTAATCCAAGACAATAATCATTTGTCCATGAACCAGATGCTGAATAAACAAGTGATATCACACCATTGCGTATAGTTACTTGTGGTCCTTCATTAACATAGGGTCGATGATTTGTTTCCCAACTATAAACTGGTCTTGCAATTTCAATTCTTGCACTACTAATTGTCCATGGATTTGACATTTGAGCAATATATAAAATTTGTCTTTCATCAACATCACCTTGCCAACCAGACCATATAAAATAGAGTTGACCTGAAGGATGTTGAAGTACAGTTCCATCAATAGCCCATTTATTTGTAGCATCAGTTATTTGTCCTCTCCAAACGAACGTACTAGTGAATGGGTCCGCATTGGTATTTTCAATAACAAACATACGGTGATTTTCATTGCGATCATCGCAGGTGGTGGCCGCAAAATAGATATACCTTTTTTATCAATAAATATGATAGAAGATATTCATATAAATATATATATATATGTTTTTCTTACCAACGTGATTGAACGAAATGTAATTCTGGTGCCCATATAGCCTTACATGCTGCACCAGAATTAGGTGACCTCCATACAATTTGACTTTCACCGGCATTCATAGATGTTAAACTACGTGATCGCCATATTCGAACATCTCCACCTGTCGTTCGTGTCGAATAATACCATCCATCTGTATGTTTATATACCCATGGATCAGCTCCATCTTGAGCAATGACATTATAAAATGTATTTACATTTGCAGCTCGTATTGATTTCGATTCAAAAGCTTGAATTATAAAAAAAAGAGTTTAAATTGAAATACGGCTTCTACTCATGTTCTCTTAATAAAGCTAAATTGATCAATATTCATACGTACCATTGCTATTATTTTGATAAAATTCTTGTGCCTCTTCAATATAGAATGCATGTGTATGAAGAAAAATAATAGGAAAAATATTAATAAACACGGCAAACATTTTCATGTTTTGATATTGTGAATAAAAAAAGAAAATATCAGATTATTTTCGTACCCATCGACATTCGTTTGTCTTATTTATTTACTTTTGATTTTACTTCCATTCATTGTCTTTTTTTTTCGAAAAAAACAGGGAAATTGGATCTGATCTTAACCGAAAATAATGATCACAAATGGATACATATCAATATATCAAAGAAAAATTAAAAAAAAACACACGCACAAGGATTAGATGTCAATTCATCATACGTTGTTCTTGAATATACTGCCAATATTTTTTTCTTATTGGATCAATTTGTACTGCTAATCTTTCACAAAGGTTATTAATCATTTTTTTATTTTCTTCTTGTTTTTCCTTTCGATCATCATCAATTAATAATTCAATCATATAAGCTAGTAAAAATTTCCATTGTTGATTATTAAAATTATCTTTTTGAAATTTATTCTCATATAAATTCTGACAAAAATTCCATATACGTTGATCATTTAAATTTACTGAACGAAATCGAACAATACCACGTAAATAATTCCATGCACTTTCATTATCTGGACATAATTCAATACGTTTTTCAACAAAATCTAATTCACGTTCAATAATATCATCTTTAAAACCAGTTGTATGAGCAATAACAAAATAACGTTGATTCCATGCTGAATTATTTCTTATATCATCTCGTAATAAATGTTCAACATAATTTAATTCATCGGACCAAAGTGAATAAGTTCTTAGTAACCATTGACGATATTGCCAGGCATGATAATTTTTTGAATCACGCTCAATAATATCAGAAAGAAATGTTAATTCATTAGCTGTATGACCTAAACGTTCGACAATTAAACGACGATGTTCCCATACCTTAAGAAAATTTAAAAAATAATCAATAAATGCGAATTAATAAAATTTACTTGATAATTTTTTGGATTTTCTTTAATCATTTGTCCAATAAATGTTATTTCCTCATTTAAATCACATCCAAGATTATATAAAAGTTTACGTCTATAACACCAAACTGTATAATTAGCTGGATTAAGTCGACATGCAACTTTAGTTAAATCAAGTGCACGTTCACTCATTTCATTTGATTGCATACATGCACGCATATAATTAAAGGTTTCACGAAATGAATCTGAATAAGCAATTTTAACTACAGCATGTGGACCATCATCTTGTTCAATTGGTACTACATCAGACCATTCAGGTCGAGCAGAAAATTGAAGTTGACTTGGTACTCCTTCAGATTCATCATCAGATTCTGAATAAGACATATTTCAATTTTTATCTGTTTCTTTTTTGTTAAATAAAAATCTAAAATGAAGATGATATTATTAATAATATTGTTTTTAACTTGTTTTGATCGTGATAAGTAGCATAGATTACTGTTTTATGAGATATAAAAAAAGAATGAGCAAGTGCATAGTTTAAATAAAAATATATATACAAGTCAATATAACTAAATTTTGATAAAGCAAAAAAAAAGAAAGCAGCAACTGAGTGTGTAGCACTATCTTTAGGAAGATTAAACGTGAGTTAGTCAAAATCATAAATGCAAAATAAATTTTATTTTTTGTGTTTTGTTTTGTTTATATACGAGTATCCAATGCTTGTGGATGCCATGAATTAGCATGATCGGTCTTAAATAATAAAATAATTTAAAATGATTATCTTATTAAAAAATACATACATAATGGAATGCATCGAATGCCATAGGTCGTTTAGATATTGAATGAATTGTTTCAATCGTTTCTTTTAAATGATTAATATCAAATGATAACTCTTGTTCATATGATGTTGGCATATATGTTTGATCATATCGACAATAACATTTTGACCATAAAACTAAATTAACGACACGCCAATCAACATGAAGATCATCGATAAATATTTGAGGTGATTCAATTGTATCATAATCATAATGTTCAGCATTGGCTAATAATGTTCCATTTGTTATTGAAATATCATATGAAAAACTTGTTGATTTTGGTCTTTCTGAATATGAATTAGTTCGATTGTATCGTTGCACAGGTGTTGATTCTGAATCATAAATTGCTGATTCAATACGAGATTTATTTTGTTGATGAGAAGAAGAAGATGAAGAGATTTGTGAATTAAATATAGATGCATCATTTTTCAATAAACGATATGCATTTTCATCGAGATAAAGTGAAAAATCAAATGATGATAAAACTAAAAGAGTTTTTGGACAATTGCTGATTGCCTGAAGACGTTCAGTAATATTATTAAATGCAAATGTATGATGATAACAATAACAAATATCATGATAAATTTCAATTAAAAAATAATCCGTAAATTCAAATGAAAATGGATTTTGAATAATTAATTGATGGATACAATCAAGAAAAAGAAGAAAAACCGGTGACTAAAAATTTTTTATATTGAAATAAAAATATATATAAATAAAGAAATAGATTTACTTCTTGTACAGGATATCTATTTACATCATGAGATACTTGTCCGAAACGTTCACGAAATTTATGACCACGAATAATCCATTCACGAACAATTAATTCACAAAAACCTTTGATTGTACGACATTTTGGTCGAAGTAAAATTTGTATTAATGATGACATTAAACAATTATTATCCGTATCACTTCCTGTTTTATAAAATACATATGTATATATAGTCAAAAAACTGATTTGTCTTACCAGCTAATTCTATATTTTTAAAATCAAGTAATTTAGCTAAGGATGCAGCACCATGTAAAGTTTTTGAAACATATTTAAGCCATTTACATGAATTTAATTTTGTTAACCATTTATCATCATCATTATCATCTATAAATAAAATAAAAACAACAATAGAATTTTATTCGAACATCAATAATATTTAAATACCAGATGTTACAACACAAATATCAATTAATTTTTCATAACTCGTTTGTAATCGTTTTAAATTACATGGAAATTTTGCTAGATTATAACGTTGAAAAGGTTGATCATGTATATAATGAGGTGAAGGAACTAAATTTGCATCTGTTGTTGCACGACGTAAACTAAAATAAAACTAATTTTATCAATCAAAGAAATTAAAAATTTTTTTTTTTTGGGGTTTAATTGTCATATTAAATATACTGACACCAAAACAATATCAATACATGCAATATATAAAAAATAGCAACAGTTACCGAGCACGCGCGTGCGTCTCACCCAACATCAGACGCCATCTCTGACTTAGCTGTTAAACTGCTAGTCGTTGTTTTACTTTCATTTGTACATATCAATTTTGGACCATCGGTAGTATGTGAACGTAGAGCTTTTGGTAATTTCATTTTTTTTATATTAAAAAATCGAAAAGACGATGATGATGAAACAGTTGGTGCACTTATTGGTGTTTCTGGACTGTTTATGAGTAAAAGATGAAAAAAAACTCTCTCAATCATATTTAATAACTCTACTAAAACGTTTTTTTAATTACGTGTTACAAAATATACTTACGGTTCTATAGTTGCAATTTCTCCAATATTTGGAACAGTAATAAGCATAAATTTCTGTGGTTGTATTTGTCTTTTATTTTGACGATCATTTCTAACTTCAGATGTATGAGTCCAATGCCAAATCTTTAAAAATTATTTATATTAAAAATAAAAGAGAAGTAAAATTCTTATTTACCAAATCTTTACAATTATCATCATCATTACTATTGACTAAACGAACAAATGGACCTTCTCTAAATTATAAACATAAACAATAATACAAAATAATTTTATTCTAAAAAAATCTTTACTCTTGGACAATGTATTGTTTATTAAATTTTTTTCTATCAACAATCCATCGCTGCTCATTTGCTTCATATAATTCGTCTTTCCAATGATTCGATATCATATAACTTTTTATACGCTCATCATTACTCATAGAAAAATCTAGATTTAATTAAAAATAAATAAATAATTAATAATATATAATAATTAACCTGCTGTAATATCATCTATTGATCGTGAATTCATTATTGTAGTTAAGATATTATCATGACTAGGTCGATCTTTAGAATTTTCTTCTAATGCAAGATATGGATATAATTGATTTTTCGATTGAAATCGACTATTAAGTCTTAATGCTTCAATATACTATACAAAGAATATATGATAAAAATTATATAAAATTAAATAGATCTTACTGTTTCCATATTTGTTGTAGGTGCATGTGAATGTTTAGTTCCCGTATTGGATTGCGTCACTGAACATTTTGTAAATGTTATAACTCGAAAATCCTATTCATTAAAAGAATTGAATAAATATTTAGCAAAAAAAAAAAGAAAGAACGTCATTTTACTCTTGTAGTTATAGTAAATGTTCTTGTTTCTGATTGTATTTGACTTTCATTTAAAAATGATTTGAATCCTGATCGAGAATCCACCGCTAAAATTGAAATTTCAATAAATCGAATTGAAATTCTTATTGATATATATACTTACGTGCAACATTTATATTATGAATAGATGTTAATGGAATGTCATATGTACCAATATATTTATTCCCAGAAAATATCTATGAAAGAATAAATAATTTAATTTTTATTAATATAATATATATTTTACATACGAAATCATTATCTTCAATTTCTTGATCAGGTGCAAATACAAGTCGAAATGTAGTCATATATAAAGTTCCAGTTAAGCGTTCACATTTATTTTCTATATATTCAACATTACGCACATGCATGTTAAATGGCATTTCTTCTAAAAAAACAAATCTTCATGTATATTTTCATAAATTAAAAAATAATTGAAATACAAACTTGGTAATAAGTTTCGAATACTTTTTATCAACTAAAAAATAGATAGATGGATGGATATTGAATTAGATATCTTAAAATATTGTACATACATCAGGTAGAATATTTGATATTGCATCGTTCTTTGTCGTTGAATCAATATGAGAACCATTAACATAGGTACGAGATTGTTGTTGTCGGCTGATACTTGCCGATCGATTGCCGAAACTATTTCGGCGAGTTGACATACTTTTAATTGTAAATTTTCATTTTATAATAAAAGTAAAAAACGTAAAACTAAAACTAAGCTGAAGGACTAATGATCGATGAGTCATTTCGACTACGATAAATAGTTAATTTTATTAGCCAATAGAATTTTAAGAGAACATTTTTCATAAAAAAAAAAGAAACGACTATTATCACTCAGCTCATCTTGCGATGAATAACCGAGAAAAATAATCATTTTATCATTCATATAAAAAAAACAATCATTGATTGATGACAATTGTCAATAATCATATATTATTGTGGTCGTATCGGTTATAAATATAGAGAAATCAAGGCATTGGTATACTTTTGTCAGACACAATTTGATCTAAATTAATCTATTCACTTGTCAATACGAATTATAAAAACTGTAATATTCTAATTAAATCCAAGTTTTTTTTATATCTGTTGACAATCAAATGATTTTAAAGTCTTATAGAAACTAAACGGATATATTTCTTTCAAGCAACAATAAAATTGTTAAATATGATATCAATTGCGTAGAAAAAAAATATTTTGCACTTTCTAAACCTCTATTTGATATAACCGAATGAAGTAATTATACATGGATATTGAGTGTACTACAAGTATGCAAATAATAATAGATAAAGTATAACAGCTTCAGAAAGTTTAAGATTAGTTGATATTAGTACAATATAAAAATTCATGAATCATAGTCCACGTTTTTTTCTTTTGAGACTATCATATGTAAAAACTAATACTGTAATAATTATTTAAGAGTTCGCTTTTTAAAATATCTCTTATCAGTTTACTTATTATTATCATTTTCTAAAACAGTATGAAGTACTCTAGATAACATTACTTTTAACACCATGTGTATTCTTAAAAAATGACAAGAACATGTTTAAATACTCCAACATTGTATAAGTTTTTTTGACTTGTAATATACATACATATATTAAATAAAAATGAATATTTCGAGAAGTTTCTAGAAATGGAAACTTTTTTTTCTCTACACTCAAAAACTTACAATCTAAATTTTCGAGATAATATTAAGGTCATTGATATTTTTCTCTTTAAGAAGTTCTTATAAAGTTCTATTTCTTCTTTTTTATTGCATAATTACTCATGACTATATTTGTATATTTTACAAGATATCAAGTTAATATTTCTTTTTATTTACAATCTCTTTTTGTTTGATATCTATCTTACAGGCGAGCCGCCAATAGGGTTCTTTTGTTTATTAACAATAGAACTTCGTATGTTTTTGTAGAGATGAATTCATCAACTCTTGTTAACGAGAATACTAGAATTATCTTGATAAAAGTCCTTTCTATTTGTTTGCCCTTGTACTGCTTTGAAATATGTTTGTCTTAAATAAAAAAAAAATTTGGAATGGAGTAGGAGAGAGAGAGAGAAAAAAAGACAATTATCAGCTACATCTACTACTGACAAAAGTAACAAACAAAAAAGATAAGACTATAAGTAACACTGCTATTAAAGCATATAGATTATTATTCAAAAAGAAAACGAACATACTGAGAGTCGAAAGTGTATATTTAAGTGCATAAACTTTTCTTTTTATTCTTCGTTTTAGAAATCTATAGTTTTGTATTCTTATTTATTTATAACGAGGATCATGGACAGTACCATGTTCGTGCTCCTTATTGTATACCTTATTGGTATTGCGGGTAAGTTGATCTGAATGATTTTTATCGAAAAAAAAACATTATACAATTTTTTTCTTCTTATATTATAGCTCAGTCAAACATTCCCAAAGAAGGTTTGTAAATTTATAAAAGGTTTGTTTCTTTTTTGATATATGATAATTTATATATAGATCCCGGATGGAGAAATGACGTTGATA